TTCCTAAATCTTCACCTGGGGATATTTTTTCCATTGCTTTTCAGAGAAAGTGGAAAGGGAAGAGAGGGGGGCAGAGAGAGAAACATCGATGTGAGAGAGACACATCGATTGGTTGCCTCCTGCACGCACCCCAACCAGGGCCAAGAATGGAGCCTGCGACCAAGGTACGTGCCCTTGGCTGGAATCGAACATGGGACCCTCACACGCAGGGTTCCTTCTGATCTTCTCCCCCTCCACATCTTCTTCGTTCACTCTAATTCTCCTCACCCCTGAAGTCTCAACTCAGGTCACCTCCTGAATCCACCCCACCCCATATCTCTGTCCTATCACTTGCAGATATCTGAGATGGGAACCACCCCTGTTGGCCAGGTTTTTCCAATGGCCTGTGGTTCTCCAAAGGGTGGGTGCTAGGTCCTGGTTCTGGGGTCCCTGAGACCCAGCACAAGGCCTGGCACATAGTAGGTCTTCCTCTACTATGTAGGAAATCGCCCCCAAACTGTAGGATCTGAACACATGCTAGTGTTCTGCTCCATCAGGACAACATTCATGACTTCAGCGTTTCATGACCTACAACCTGTACTTATTTAGTCACTATTTTTCCTCCAGTTGACTTTTTCCTTAAGCACATTTTAAAGGGGAAAAAGTAATCATTATTATAAATGGAAATAAATGGAAAACGAACATCATAAAAAGAAGGAAAGTAAACACAAGATTATTACAATTAAAAATGCCTGCAAACTACCTAACATCACTTCACTTCCCAGGTGCTGGGAACTGCTAGGCTCCATCAGACTGTCTCCAAAGCGCTAGAAACGGTGGGTGAAGGGTGGGGCAGGGCCTGGCAGAGCTGAGGGTGAAGCCTGGAGGGGTGGAGCTGGGGCTGCCCAGAAAAGGTCAGCAGCTCTCCAAGGTGCCCCTTGTTGGACTGTGTCCACCTGCCCACATCCTTGCCTGGCTCCCTGGTCCTGTTCTCCCCCCGCCCGCTAACACTGCCCTTTCACTTGCCCCTGGGCACTCCCACCTTGGCTAGCTCTATGGGAATGTCTAGTTCCCAAGCTCTGGATGCTCTAACGGACAGATGAGAAAACTGAGGCTGTGTGTACAGATTCTTAGCATCCAGGCAAAAGCTGGAACCAGGGCCTCCAGCCACCAGCCCAGAATGCTTTCCTCAGTGGCAAGCAGGGTGTAGGCCATGGGAGCAGCTTTGGCCCTAGCCCCACTACACCCCCTCTCCTTCCTGGAGACTGCACAGAAGAAAGCAATCAGGAGGCCCTGATTGCACAGGCCGGGGAGGCCCCCAGGACCCTCCGGCTATGTGTGAACGAGCAGTGTGCATTTCAGAAATATTTGAGCTAAACGGGGAGACACACTGAAGTCGTTAGCGTTGAGCCCAACAGCAGGGTGGTTGTGTGAGGCCCTGGCAGGCTCTACCACCACCCCGTTTCAGGCTGGAGTGGCTGGTCGCCCTCTGCTCCTTGGTCCACCTCTGGTCAGCTCTGTCTGACCCCCTCTTGGGAGATAATTTTCTAGGGCTACAATACTCTTTGTCTGCACTAAAGATATGTGAAAGCTACAGAGGTAAGGAAGAACTTTCATTAAGCACCTATTGTATGCTAGGCATGGAGCTGAGCACTCTAAATATTTCAGGTTTATGACAACCTGGGCAGAGGTATGTATTATTAACCCCACTTTATAGATGAGAAAACTGAGGCCAGAGAGGTGAATAACCTGTACAAGGGCCCACGGACAGGGCTGGGACTTGAACCCACATCTCTCATTCCATATCTGTGTTATTTTTAAGATGCCACAGCTATAGCCTTAAAAAAACAAACGCAAAACAACCAAAATCACCGGGGCCTTTTATATGTGCTTATTCTTTGCCTGTGTGGCCTGAGTGAGGATAGGAAGGGAAAGAGGGAAGGACAGCTGGGGAGTAGGGCACAGACTGTCCAGGTTAGAACTTGCCTCTGACGCTCTCTAGTGTGTCACTATAGGCAAATCTGTGCGCTTCTCTGGGCCTCAGTTTCCCCATCTGTAAAATGGGCTGTGTGAGACTTAAGTGACATCCTGCTGATGTGACATCTCCCAGGGCCCTCATTCAGGGGCATGGGAGCTCTGTGTCTGACTTATTCTCCACTGTATCTATCCCCAGCACTGAGGACTGACTCTGGCACACAGTAGATGTATTGGACCACCACTAAGCACCTGGGTGATGTGTCTAAAGCCCATGTCTGATCATGTCTGAAATGAGCTTAATGCCCTTCAGAGCTCCCCTGCCATCAGGGTAAATTATGTCCTAGCACCTCAATAATGCATTCAAGGCCGCTGCTGACCGGCCTGCTAATTACCTTTCAGCCGCACTTTCCTGCATCCCTAGAGTCCAGGCATCCAGAATTCCTTCTGCTTGCAGAAGGCACTCAGTTTCCTTGGGCCTTGGTGACTTGACCATTCCAGACTTTTCTTCCAAAACTTAGCTCAAAGACTCCTTCTTCCTAGCAGCTGTCCCTGCATTCTACTGGGTTAAGTAACAAGATCATGGTCATTCAATGAAAGTCTACTCTGCATAATGTGAGCCAGGCACTGTGCTGGGCACTGGGGATGTAGAAACAGATCAGCAGGTCTTTCCCTCAAGGAGCTTCCAAACTAGTTCCCAA